AGTGTTAATTATATTGTGCGCTCACTTTTCCCTTGGTTTCGATGTGGTACAAATGGCATAACAGTTTTATTATTATTATTATTATTATTATTATTATTATTATTATTATTATTATTATTATTATTATTTCATAATAGTTTGGGAATACAAGTGCAGGAACATTCCAAAACATAAAAATAAAAAAAATAAACACCATACATTGAAAATAAGGGGCAACATTTAAAAATGGACAACCAAGTTAATGCTTAGGAAGACTGGCGCTTGCTAATAGTAAAGGTCTCCCAACAACATAACCAAAACGGATATCAATGAAAATACTACATTTGATATACTGTATTTAAGAACATGCGATGTGATTTATAAAGCATTTGTGATGATACGTAATTTAAAAAAAAACATTGTACAGAAGTAAAATAATTTTTATTATTTAAAATACCTTAATATCTGTCTTGGTACTGCTCTCCATGAACACCATCCAGCTGCTCTTTCCTTTATGTTCAAATTGATTATCTTCATGATGTATTTTGTCAGCTCGCTTCTATTGTATCTTGTTTAAAATTAAAAATAAAAAGTTATTATTGCCATTTTTTTTCATTAAAAAATTATGACAGAACATCAGACATTAATAATACCACCAAACTTCAGATACTAAAAAAGAGATTTCAAAGTATAATAATAATAATAATAATAATAATAATAATAATAATAATAATAATAATAATCAAATATTTTTAGACATTTTAAAGTTACAAGATAAATGTTTTTATAAAACTAGGGGTCTGAATAATCCTAAAAATATGTCTATAGCGAATAGACTAGGCCTAGCGTAGGCCTACTTTCACGTGAGAGCATACCGCGTATACTTAAAATTTAAATACCCTCTAGGCCAAACATTGTTTACTTTCACCTAGCCCAGGCGCAGCTTACCCTCCCGTAGCGTAGGCTATTTTTAGGGAGCACAGACCTAGTTTTGCCTATTGAAGATTGATAGAAACATTTGAATTATATTTTAAAAACATATTAGTTATCTTGTCTGTGTTATTTATTACGCCATAAACGTCTAAAAGGCAGACATGCTAGGCCTGTCTAGGGTAAACACGTGTATTTTAAAGGCCAGACACGGCCATTTTTAAACTTAAATAAAAAATTTTACAGGAACAGTTGTCAGAGAGGATAATGCAGAAGTCAAATAGTAATAACATGGAGCAAGTGGCAAGGTTTCAAAAATTATTTATAGCCATGTAAACTTTACATGCCAGATTTTCTTAAGTTTTGGGTGAAAAACATGGAATAAATTCAAATACTCACACGTAAAATCAGGCGCCAAGACATCATACCTATGTTATACAGTACTAGTACCAAACTGTTTAGCGTGTCTTCTTCGATAACATCATGAATATTCATTATTTTTTAATTTTAAAGCTGTTGGTTGGTCATTTAAAACCCCATATGGAGAATAATGAAAATATCGCTTCCTCGTTTGCGCCCCCAACTACAAGAATATCTAAAATGTATAATAATGACCAACAAAGGGCTCACTACTTATTGTCTATATTGAAACCGCCGTGTTCAATTCAATTCAATATAAAGTTTATTTCCACATGATCAATACAAAATACATAGACAGAACATTTGAATAAAGTGGAAAAAGGGTCGCCACAACAAGCAAGCTTTATAACGGGCGCCCATTGATTATGAAATAAAATTAACTACTATAACACAAAAGAATAAATTTTATAAATAAAGTAACCATATAGTCATTGAAAATTCTGAAGAAAAGTTAAATATGATTACATACAGCACAATTATTTATACAAAGGTTTGCATTACACTTATAGTTTTCATGGTAATGGTTATTTAAATTTCTTTTGAATTTATAAATACTATTACTGAGTCTTAATTCTACATTGATATCGTTCCAGATTTTAGGCCCTATATATGTTAAGCACTTTTGTCCCATATTTGTGTTCTTTTTTGTTATACACAAGTTATCTTTATTTCTTGTACCATATCTGTGTACAGAGAAATTATTTATAGCCATGTAAACTTTACATGCCAGATTTTCTTAAGTTTTGGGTGAAAAACATGGAATAAATTCAAATACTCACACGTAAAATCAGGCGCCAAGACATCGTACCTATGTTATACAGTACTACCGAACTGTTTAGCGTGTCTTCTTCGATAATATCATGAATATTCGTTATTTTTTTAATTTTAAAGCTGTTGGTTGGTCATTTAAAACCCCATATGGAGAATAATGAAAATATCGCTTCCTCGTTTGCGCCTCCAACTACAAGAATATCTAAAATGTATAATAATGACCAACAGAGGGCTCACTACTTATTGTCTATATTGAAACCGCCGTGTTCAATTCAATTCAATTCAATATAAAGTTTATTTCCACATCATCAATACAAAATACATATACAGAACATTTGAATAAAGTGGAAAAAGGGTCGCCACAACAAGCAAGCTTTATAACGGGCGCCCATTGATTATGAAATAAAATTAACTACTATATCACAAAAGAATAAATTTTATAAAGAAAGTAACAGCACAATTATTTATACAAAGGTTTGCATTACACTTATAGTTTTCATAGTAATGGTTATTTAAATTTCTTTTGAATTTATAAATACTATTACTGAGTCTTAATTCTACATTGATATCGTTCCAGATTTTAGGCCCTATATATGTTAAGCCCTTTTGTCCCATGTTAAGGCGAGTTAAACAATTTTTTCTAGACGCTTAAATTTTTTATCGTTCTTTTATGAAATTTTATCAATTATTCATTGGGTGTGAAATCTGTGTTTTTTTTTTATTATTATTTTAATTGTCTTGGCCTTTCACTTTTTACATTTTAGACCTTTCTTTTAATATAATCGCTAATAATGTAGTTAAGTTTAGTTTCCTGGGTGAGTCGAATAGCCGAGCGGTTAGCAGGGGCGCCGCAAGCTGTAGTCATAATGTCGGCGCTGGTTCGAACGGCACGCTCGCCTATGGTTCTGGCGGTCTAAAAATTCTTCTCGGATAAGGACTATAAACCGTAGGCCCAGTGTATACGATGGCTCGTGTACACTATAAAGAACCCAGTACATCCTTCGAAATGAGTAGGGGAATACCCCGGTGTACTGCAACAGACAGCCCCTGTGTAGTGGACGACGAGAGTTGCTGGTACCGGGTTACCGGGTAGCACAGACACGAAGGGACCCTTAGGGGCGAAGAAAGTCATTGGTCGAGTTCCTAGTCCACATATCAAGTGCACTGAGCATTTTACATTAGATGGATATGTGCGCTATATATATCATCATCATCATCATTATTATTATTATTACTATTATTATTGATGACATAGTAATCAAAAGTGCTCCCGAACATTGTTGTTCGGTTTTCGCATGACGTGGATGTGAGTATTAATTGAAAGTTATATTCAATTATAATAGCTTTATTATTTGGTGTTATCTTTTAGATTATTATGTTTAGATGAAGTTTTCTCTTGACATGAAAACTAGTTTTTCATGTAAGGCAAGGGCCCAGCCTAGGCCTATTACCCGTCTTACATGTGTGGTGTGTATATGTTTTACTCTCGGCACATCCATCACATCTAGCAAAATGCGTTGAAAACATACTTTATGTAAGTTTTTGTACGTGGCTAACTCTAAAACTAACCTCCGGTATGGCTTCTGATGGACCTGCGCTGTTACTGGTTTGAGGATCTTCGCTGTTACTGGTTTGAGGATCATCGCTGTTACTGGTTTGAGGACCTACGCTGTTACTGGTGTGAGGACGACATCGAACAAAAACGCAACCCATAATTCAGGAAATCTATAGGGAAATCTATAG